TAAAACGGATCCCACAAGTTGCATCTATTATCAATAAGTTTCGAAAGTTTAAAGCTAAGCACTTCCCCTTAATTGTTCGAAATAGCCTAGTTACTTATTTGTATATACATTCTGCGTCCCATGCTGTATTATGCTTGTCCTGTATGCTTATATTCATATAGAACTAATGGAAAAGCTTTGCAAACTGCGACAAATTGTAAACGCTCCATGGTATATAAGAAATCAGAGCTTAAATTGCGCAGGAGCCCGTCTGCGGTACTTCTTAGTTTTTGGGATAGATCCTAATTCTAGGACGGAGAGCACCGGAGCCCTAAATAAGAAGGCTGTGGCCCTTCTTTAATTAACTGGGCAACAATTTCGGCAGAAATATGATGTCGAAAATTTTATTTTTCTATTTTTAATATTTTAAAATTATATTTAAAATCGATTCTAACTTGTAACTTCTTCGATTCTAACTATGCATGCTTCTCTTTCCTTAGGAAACAAATTCTTGGATGGAGGTTGAGACTTTTAAGGAAACGGAAGCCCCTACTCGTATGTGAAAGGTTTATTCACCAGAAAATACATTGGAATGATGTAACCAAAGACGGAAGGATTAAAACTGTCACTTGTTACTTTTTTGCAGCTAAGACTCAGATTCGGTGAAAATTTGTTCTTTTTTCCTATTCTGCTTGATAACTAAAATTATACTGAGAGGAGACAGTGGTTGGAAAATGTTGGATTCTTCGCTTTTTGTTTTCATATCTACAAGTCATACGCTAAAATTTTCTCCATATTGTCTTACTGTTTATAGCATTCTCTATATTTTCATTAGTGACGTTTTAACCTAGTTAACGTTTTTTATTGGTTGTGCTGGAAAAAGAATGGTCTTTATTTCTATCACCCCTTGAACTATCACATTATAAAAAGAGCTTATATTAAACCGAAGACCGATTGAGCTATTTCTTATTTTTTATGTGAAATATGATTCCAGCCGAAACCCCAAATAAGTCAAGGTCCAATACTTTATTTTAATATTTAATTATTTACCATTTATTTAATAACTTATTATGTTTTTATTTAGCTCTGTGCATTTTATTAAATTTTAAGATTAATTGTTTAATTCTGTTAATCATTTTTATAATTAATTGATTAACTGTATAATTATTAATAATTTTACTAGCCATTTTATTTATTTATTTAATTTCTCTTCTTTCCTGAAAATCTTCCATAGGGCTCCGGCACTTCTAATTTTAGAAATTAAGTCCTGTAAGAAATAAAAGAATTAACGAAGAATTAAATATTGCGTAACTCCCTACCATTTAATATACCCTGACTCAAAATTTTCACAGCAGTCGACGTATTATTACTAATGAAGCAATTAGAATTTGCAATTATGATGTCAATGACCCTATTAACATCAAAAGACCTAAATATATTTTACCTGTCACCTATCTCCACCTAATTACTATACTACTATTAATATTATCTAAAAAATTATATATATGTATATATATGCGTGCGGGTGAGTGTGTATAGTTTAGCACCATATAATCGCACTTTCTGTACTGTTTATTTAGCTTTCTATTCAACATAGTAAAGAATAAATTATTTTGCCATAAACTTTTGAAGAGTACATTTAATCGATAAGTGTATAAAAACTTTATTTTGTACTAATCAATTAATCAACTTTAAGAAACTTTCCTTTCTCTTCTGATTTCAATTTCCTGCCAGAATGCAAATTTAAATGTCGCGTAGGCAAATATCATTGAGTTCATAAATAGTATTTAAGTAAAAGAATTTTAGATTTCGCAGTAGATTCACTTAGGCATTTATGTCCTTGCATCGCTATATGAAGCAACGAAATGAAGATAGCCGGTATACAGCTTGCAGCTTTGTAAGCTAGACGCGACAATGGCAAACGGAACAGAAGTTCGCAATAGAAAAGTTAGTTACGAGCTTATGTCGCGTGTCTGCAAGTAGCTCTGTTGCTGAATATTTTGTACTAGCCACTTACTTTATATTATATTGATATTCTAGACTCGGATTTGCTGTGTGCAGCCGACAAAGCGGATTTAGATTGAAGTAGGAGCCAGTCGTGTAGCTAAAACTTAGTTCCTTTTTAGGATAAGGTTCGGAGAACAGCCTTGGTTGCTTCAACTTGGCTCCTTTAAGGATATGGGCGACATTTTATTATGCCAACGGAAGTAAATATCATGTGGGGAATAGGTGCTTGGGAGAAAAGGAAAATACATGGGGAAAACGGAATTACGATGTGTTTATATTTGTTTGGCATCTGAATCCTAATTTTGTTCTGTTATGTTGCTAAATTAGCATTAAAAGTCGAGTAATGTGCGTCTATTGCGAAAACGCAGGGCAATTACTTTTCGATCCGATTTTATACATGTTTTAATATATCACATTCCTGCTCATTTGATCTACATATGTATCAGATAACTAGCTACTTTTGACACTTATTTCTGGATGTGTATTATTTTATAACATTTCCTGCTTTGAAAACCCAAGTATTGAAACATTATGTGTATGCTTGTGAAAATATTATTTCAGATATTCTCGTATAACTAACTATACTATAATCTCATATTATTCAGTTCTGATATAACTACGATAGAAATATGCTTAGCCTTAAGTGGTGGATAAATTGTGAGCGCCGAGTGAGTGCATGTTCTGTTTAGTTACTTAAAATAAAAAAAGGTTGTTATAACTTTCATCGGAAGTAATCTTTTTTTTTTTTCCAAAACATAGCAAGAATGCATTAATTCGTCCTCAGTATCATCCATGAACCTTCCGGCTCCTTTCGAAGGGCGCCTGGACTGAAGAGTCCTATCCCTATCGATGCTGAGTCTCTTTTCGAACGTTGAATCCATAAGTGCGTTCCGGCAGAGTGACAATAGGCAGAAAAAAGATGTCCGTAAGCAAAAAATATGGCATAGAGTCCAGTCGATAGTGAGTTGGTGACACATGCACTTGGGGAGAAGTATTCGGAGGCTAATTCCCAGGAATCAGGTCGATGCGATGAGGTGTAGAGTTGAAGGCGGCGTCGATGGGCGGAGAGAAGGCTTGAGAATCTTCAGGTCAGGTGGTTTGTATTAGCCAATGGTTGAGAAAGTGGTTATTTTTGGTAAGAGAGCTGAGGGGTCTCATGCAAGCAGTGTATATGTTCCATATTTATGATTTTTTTTCCATTATTTAATTAAAGATGTTTGATTCCTCACATATATTAAATAAAATTAATAGTTTTTCCATAGGTGTATCCACTGATTTTAGTTGGTCTAAATTATTTTTGAGAATGGAAAAGAATTTTAAGATATTATTGTTAGCCGAAAATATTATTGAGTTCTTTTAGTGTGGAAAATATGTCATGAAAAGTGTTCGCGTTAGATGTAGTGTTGGTATTCTGGTTTCTAGTGTCTTGTGTGTTGTTGGATGTAACTTGTGCGTATGTTCTGCCTTGTGTGGATGTAGGTATGTTTGAAGTGGTGTTGTTTTGGAGTGAAAGTGTAATTTGGTGAATTGTTTGTGTTTCTGTTTTTGGGGAATTTCTCGCAACCGCGGATAGGAAGCTGGATGATTTTTTGTGGCAATTTGCGCATGTGGGGTTATCTAATTTTCCTTGTGTAGGGCAGTCTGTTGTTTTATGTTGTTGTGCGCATTTAACACACCTAGGTAGAAGAAGAAACAATTGTCTGATGAGTGATTAAAAGCGTTGGCAGTTGTGGCATTGTGGTGTAATGTTTTTGTTGATGTATTTTTCGACTGTAATGATGAACATACCTAGGTGTGTTTCACTGTAGATTTTGTCAATGTTGGTTACGCTGGAGGAAGTTCTGAAGTATGGGTTTATACAAACGAGCTATACTTATCACATTCGTCTTCAGTGGGGTCTACATTTAATGATGCCTAAGCGACTCTATAGGTGTGGTGCTTTCTGCACTGGCAGTCTGGTGCTGCACCATTCAACCTGATACAGCAAATATAAATAATATAGCGATCATTAAAAAATACTGTATGCCTACGCTTCACACAGTATTTGAAATTGTACTGTATTTGTGCTATTTTTAAAGATTTTGTGATTTTGTTGTTGAATTTTATGCTGCGTAAGTGCGAAGAAAGTGATGTTCAATCAAGGAGGTTAATTCTAACCTCCTTGTGTTCAATAAATAAATCTCAAAAGACAAATAAAAGAATTGGTCATCTTACTGAGGAAACTAAACACTGATACCATAAACTGAGAAAAGACTGAAAAATACATGTTTAGCAATAATTAACATTCTATCTGGAATTATAAAGATATGATGCTTAGGAAATTTCTGAGATTGGTAAGTCATTGATCTGTAAATCCAGCAGTTAAAAAAAAAAAAAAAACCAGAAGATGACAAGAAGATATACTAAGATCGATGCGATATTTTGAAATCAAAGCATGAGAAGGGATGTGCATATAAGACCGTATATTTATCCTTGTACATTGTACAAAATAATAGAACAATAAAAAGCGAATGGTGTTTGTAATAAACATTGAGACTAAACAAAGTACTCTCTGAACCTTATCCGATTTTATTTACAAATGATCAACGGAAGTAATATTTAACTTAAAAGCTCATTGCTATTCTGCCAATTTCATGTCTTAACATAGAACTGGCAGGCAGAAGGATGCTGGACATATCATATTTTTTAATAAGCTTTCAAACAGTAGGTACAGGACATTTTAGCTACATTAATTATCTTTGCAATTAATAATTTTTTATCAATTTGTTCAACAGATAATAGATTTCTTTACAGATAATAGGACACTTGGAAAAAAAAGAATATGCAAGAGTAAAAACAATAAGGAAAAGATCAGCGATTAGGAGCGATCAGCGATTATTAAAACGATTAGGAGAAAAAGTTTTAAAAAATTTGGAAGAAAGGGTTAAATTTTTATTTCATTTATTTATTTCACTTATTTTATTGAATAATGTTCTTTTAACATGAATAAAATGGCAACAATAAAAATGTACACAATTTGAATTTCGTTTGATTTATATTTTAATAATTGTTCTTTAATGTTGGATGAATAATTTATCCTATTTTTTTAATTATACTTTGATAATCGCGAAAATTATTTTTTATATTAATATAGTATGATTATAAACATGTATCAACATTTACAATTATTTATCATGAGAAAAATTAAACTCACAAATATATAGCAGTTCTTAAAACTGAGTTAGTAATTCTTTTTTTCAGAATCAATTTCTGAATTTGTATTCTGAGCATATGAAACTAATTTTTAGGTTGAATTTATTTACTAATAGTGTAATTTACTTTCAGAACTTCCATTTCTTCATGTCGGTGCTTATTCGTATATTAACCTTTATCCTATCTTGCCATTTACTTTTACAATTTTTTAAATCTAATTAAGTATTATTCAGAAAATTTTCCGTCACAGAGCAAACGGTTCCGTTTTTGTACATATTTGATTCAAATGAAACTTAATTGCACCTAATTTTTATATTTAATGCAAATAATTAAAGAAGGTGAAGGAAATTGTTTTCTAATACATTAATAGTAAGTTAAATTAAATGAAAATAAAGTATTAAGAGAGTTTTGATTGTTTCCTACTCTTTTATTGAACACGAACAAAAAAAAAAAAAAAAAAAAATGAATAAAATTTTTAGAACAGGCATCATTTTTAAGACTTATATATAAAAGCAAATTGAAATTATATTTATCATTAATTCTGCTGTTTTTAATTCAGAAAATATATTGAGTGATTAATGTATGATTTTTTATACTTAACAACATTCAAATATGATTTTACATGCAGGGGTGTAGCTAGAGGGGGGCATCTGTCCCCGGGCGCAGAATCCAACGGGCGCCAAATTGATGTTACAACATTTTAGAATTAAATGTTTTCCATCCTTGACAAGCATTAGGGGGCGCGAAATCTTCAGTTGCCCCTGGGCACTGAAAACCCTAGCTACAACCCTGTTTACATGTAATATACTGATATATATAATTGCATCATTTATTCTGTATGGTTTTTATGTCTTTTAATATGTATTTCTGTCACATTCTGCAAAAGTTAAAAAATAAGGTATATTAAACTGATCACTCATGAGCTGTGGTTATATGTCCTACCGAGGAGGGGGGAATATATGTTTTTACTTGTGCATTATGTCAGTCTTCAGTTAAGTGCTCTATGGCATTTGTCGTAAGAAGTGCCTTCTGTGAAAATCACTAAACTAGATTGCATCTGTTACAGAGAAGATATAACTTCCATTCATAATGAAATATTATTTTTATAATTATCAATCAAATAAGGGTAAAAATTTATCATGTGGTACCCTTTGCCGAATCATTTCTTTTTTGACGTCAGGAAGGCACAATTTCAAGATGGCCATGCGCAAAACCAAAATAAGAAGACTTACATAAACTCGATGTCTATTTGCACATCGATTTAGTTTCACTTTAAAAAAAAATCAGAGAAATGCACAAACTAGGCATTGTGCACTGCTTTAACTTTGCCCATGTACATGTCGATCTATTTTCACTTAAAAATCAGGAAGCTAAAACAAAACTATCATGGTAACCAGTAGTTTTGCTAACATTATCAACATTAAGGTTCGCGAAAAACCTACTTTGCGTGACGGGCTTCCAGATTTGACAAACAACCAATACCCCTTGCCGATTTTTTTTGGGGGAAAAAACCAAGGGGTACCGTAGAATAAAGATTAGCCCAAATAAGCATTTTAACAAAATTTGCCAACCTTCTGTCTCCAGCTGATGATTAACTGCATATTTCGATTAATGTAGATGAGAGTAAGTTATAGTTATAAAAATTCAATGAACTTTATTTAGAAATTTAGTTTCACTTTCACACTTAAATTGGTTTTTACATTCGTGAATCTTTGTATTGTACTGCCTAGCTTATATGTATCTTTTGAGTGATTTATGCTATCTCTTGCATATATTTATGATATTAGTTAGATTTCAATATACCACTTAAATCTGTAAGTGAAATTGCATCCTATCTAATATGAAGAACCTATTGCGTGTGACTGAATCCTGAATATCTGAGATATCATTTTTATTAGTTTTCAAAATTTGTATTTTTTAGTTAAAAAAGTCAAAAATATCATGTATATTTAACAAAGACAATAAGTTTATGTTGAGTACTTCTTTTATTAGGATGTTAATGTATTTAGTTAGAAGAGGGGAGTAGTGTTTTAATACTTTTTCATGTCTTGTAGGTTTCATGATTAAATATGGAATCTTATCTTTTGGATATTTGCAGTCGAGAACAGGGATTACTCTTGCAAAACAAAACATTTGTTCCTTTGAATGGGTATGCTTTCTTCCCCTAATATTTTGGTATTTTTTTAATATTTGTATGCATTAAATATCATGTATGCTTCTTTAATATTTGTGTGCACAGTTATTTAAGCTGTGAATGATTTTTTATGTATGATTATGTCAAGATAAAATATTTGCATAGAAATATAAATATAAAGAGAAAAGCTTATGGAAGGTTTATTAAAATATGCATAGGTTGTTCACTAAAAAATATTATTTTTTATAAAAAAAAGTATTAAAGCAGTTTAGTAAAACAGTGTTACAGATTTGATATTTAAATAGTTAATGTTAGTAGAATTATAAATAAATTGTTTTATTCCCTGTGCAGTGCTGTGCGTGGTTAGTATTAAAAGAAAGCTAAGCCTGAAAATTAAAAATACAAGAGCATGTGCACTTAACATTTAATAATTAAATATCTCTTTTTGATTTCGAGAAATTGCTAGAACAATCTCACGTGTGATTTAAAAAGCTTATAAAAAGGAGGAAGCTTTCTCTAGCTTTTTTGAATAAAATTCTGTTGAATGTTTGAGTAGTTAAAAGATAACTACTGTGAGATATTGTAATACTTACTTATAAGATTACTTATATATTGATAATGTATGAATATCTGAGGAAATTTAAGCATTTTGTTTTATTTTTTGTGATAATAATAAATTTTGTTAATTTTTCATGGGAGTTGTACATTCAATTCATAATGAACTCATACACACACAACAATATAATAAAGTTGGTGTATTTGGTGTGAAAACTAATTAGAAAGAGAAAAAAAAAAAAAAACACGAAGGTATATTACTCAGTTTAGATTATACTTCAATGTCATAAATCTACAGTGTTTCATTAAACTATCAGATTCTAATAACTATAAAGATAAATTACATATTTACAATTGAAAAATGGACAATAAATTAAAGCTTTTGGATGTAACTTTTAATTTTGGAAGCAGTTCACACATTTGTGTGCATACAAAAATCATTTAGCCTAGATCGAATGAAAGAGAGTTATTCCTGAACAATTCAACTACTTAAGTTTCACTTTCATAGCAGAATGTATGAAGTCAGGGTTGGCACCAAAGCCAGTATAACTGCACTGAGCAGCAAAATATTTTAAATTTAGTGGTAGAATTTAAGAGTCACAGAGAGTGGCAAAAAGCTAGTGCAACCCATGTATAGAGTTGTGCTGTTGATTCGAAATCTCCTTTCAGATGATCATAAATTCATATTGATCCATCAAATAAACTTAGGATTATACTTTAAACATTCGCCATATATCTTTGATCATGCTGTATTGTTAGAACTCAGTCTCTTTTTGAAACTGTATTCTCTCCTTGCTGCTATAAATTAACAAGGATTTATTGCATTCCCCGATGTATTCTTTCTTGGTGTAAGTAGTAGCATGTCCAGCTAACAATGAGACATTCTGTGTTTAAACCCCTGCAAGGACATAATTAATTTCTTGTTTTAAAAAAACCTAGTACAGTCAAAAGTCATTAATCCGGACTCGTCGGGACTTCGTCGATTCCGGATTATAGATCACCAGTTTAAATCTGGTAAGATGGCATGCAGAAATTATAAAATTAAAAATATAAAACCGTAATTTATGAAATAAAGAGCAATTATGATCTAAAGGGTATCAAAATTTACAAAAAAATCTTAATATTTATTTGCTTACTTTATTAAACATTTCTTTCAACCCGCGCATGCGTAAAGCATACATTATGCATAGAAATTAGAAAATTGCAACCAGAAAACTATTTGATGTGTATTCGTGATATTTATAATGACGAGGAATTTGATTTAAATCATATCAAAGAGGGAGCAAATCGAGATGAAATACTACATTTAATAACGAATTATAAGCCGATTAAAATAAAAACATCTGCCATGAAGATGAGGATAGTGCTGAGAGATCAATTTCCAGTTCATTGCACGCCGTGACGTCCCCCCCCCCCACAGAGCAGCTTGAAATTGATAAACAGATTTTGGAATGGTTAGAGAAACAAAGGATATGCCTTTATCCATTTTTTGCAGCAATTCCACTTTTTGTTTGATGGACATCGAAACATGCTTTCCCTTTGTAGATTCTTTGCAGCTCCAGTATCGGAAATTGTGTTTGACATAATCGAAAGTTCCAACTTACTTTTATTAAATTGCTCTAATAGTCTAAAAGAAAATAATAAGCCGTATCCAATTAGAAGATTAAGGAACAACACAATCTGCAACATTAACTGAAATAGATAATTTTAGCTTAGCTTATACCGTCCGTTATACATTAAACGCGCATGCGTAAACGTTTATGCGCATTGCACATGCATATGCGTAAAATGCGCATGCGGCATGCGCAAAATTTGTAGCTTTGAGGTCCGGATTATGGGTGTCCAATTAAGACTTTTGACTGACGTAAGTCCAGAATCCGAAAGTGGGACAGAGTTGTGCGGATTTAATTGCGGATTCAGAAAAGATATCGTAATATTCGGACTAAAAGTGCAAAATAATAAATTTAATTATTAGATACATTTAAGTAAATTTTTATATGCATTATTACATGCATTAAATTATTATTACATATATAAATTGATTATATTATATTATTCATTGTATTATATGTACAAGACAGCATCAAGGTTTGCTGATTTCACCTCATGCAAAGATTTCCAGTGTTAGAATCACTGTTGCTGTAAAATTTCAACAGCTTTTCCTTATTTTTCCATACATCTTATAGATCGACCGTCTATTGCGAAGCCTCCGTTGGCATTTTGCCAAAACACATAGAATCGTCCAAAAGGGGCATCAGTTAAATGCTGTGAGGTGAGAGGTCATGTGAAAGTTCTTTCTTTGTTGGTAAAAGGGAATTTATATGATCGAGTTAGGCAAAATCCTTATGTCATCAGATGATGATGTTGCATCGTCATTCGCGCCTTTAGTTTTTTTTCTTTTTTTTTTTTTTCTTTTTTTTTTCGATTTGTAGAAAAATATGAATAAATTTTTAAAAATTACAAAAGAAGCTTATGAAAGCATAACGATAGAAAAATGGAAGAAGTACTGCACTCATGTAGAATTAATAGAAAACGACTACTGGAAAAAAGATGGTTTTGATTGAAGATTTATGTGAATCTTTGATTATTTTCGCTGATGAAGAGGAAGAGAACTTGAATATCTGTAGTGACTGTGATACAGAATAATAAGTACTGGGGTAGCTCCCCAGTACATGTACAATACTGCATATAGCTTTCAGCGCAAAAATCAGAACGATATAATATTTATTTATTATAACAACTATAATTACTCAATAATATAATAATTATTTATCACTGTATAATCATTATAATTAATTATAGGAATTTTTTTCAGTGTGTAATAATGTAGATAGATCGTAGCTCGAAGATAAAAAGATAAACTAATTATCAATTGCAACGTAATATAATAATTATTATTGCCATATAATTGTTATAATTAATTATAATAATTATTAGAATTTATTGTAATAATAATATAATAATCAAAATCATAAATAAATATAATAATTGAATAATTATAATAAAATTTATTTATTATGTTTTTTTATAAAATAATGTTATATTGCAAAACTAATTTTGGAAAACACTTGTATTTTTAAGAATATATACATAAATGCTTAATATTAAACACAATTTAATAAAACAGCTAATAATAAATGATGATCAGCATATCAGCTTAGATTACTTAAAAGTAATTTTGTCTTCTTATGTCTGTGCCCTTTGAACGCTGTGGAAATAAGCAGGGAAAAGTAAAACGGACAAAATCCCTACTACATTATTCCACCCTGATTCCATTCATCCCATTTTGAGAATAAATCGGTCCAAATGGCGCATGCGTGTTTGCGCTCATGTTCGCCGGTAAGACGGTCGAACTATACACAGTCCGTGTCGCAATTCCATACGATTCTGCTATAAACCGATGAGTAGCACCTGCCTCCATCTTTTGCAGAATTTCCACTTTTTGCATTACCGTCAATGCAACGTGTTTATGTTTTTCAACGCTGCAAGCAGTAAAATCATGAGTACATTTCTTGTCTGTCACTGTATTAAAAAGCACTGAAATTAAAAATATTCTTAATTTATCCACAAAATATCAGTATAAAAAAAAAACAGCAGCACTAAACAATCTCTTGAAATAACAAAGCTCAGAAAATACATAAACATGAACTTGAAAGAAGAGTTAAGTGAATCGTCTGCTCTTTTACCTCGATGCAGATTGAAAACTTTTATCATGATGTCAATAATTTGGTATTTCCGTTATGACTCATTATTATTTGGTAATTATGACGTCATTATTCATTAAGTATTTTTTCTTTGATATTTCGCACTCCATGTTGCGGTTTCCGGAACCTATAAACTGAATGTTTATATTTTGAGAGGCAACGCAAATTTCAGGTCAGCGGATTTTTGGTGTTTGACTATATGTCAATTAGTTAATCATACCGACCACAGATATTAAATTAGCTTTTAACAGCAAATATTATCTTATTCAATTTATTTATTTAAACTGAATTAGTGTTCAGAATTTGTATTTTTCATTAAATTTTTAAGAAGGAAAGTTGAAGTTTTCTATTCTTTTACTGGCATAGAATTTTCTCTTGTTGTCAACAATAATGAGTAAACATCTATTTTTGTTGCTTTCACTTTTTGGGTAGAGCCTAACAAATCTATTCCTATTAATTCATTTTGAAAAGTAGCCCTTATCCTATTTAGATACTCGGCCAGGATCTTATTTACATCGTTGAGTAATTGGCACATATGGCAGGACCTGACATATTCAGTAAAAAATTTTTGTTGCATAAAAAAAACTGCCTTGTGTACTCTTTGTGCCATTTTTCTAATGCCAAAATGTCCTGCTCTAGGTGCATCATGTAATTCTTGCAAACTGACTGAGATAACCGGTCTTAATTCAATATTCTCATTTTTTGTTTTAGCATAAAATAAGAGATTATCAATTATTTCATAACTTTCTGCCCTGT